TCCCTCTCTCTTTCTCCCTCTCTCTTTCTCCCTCTCCCTCTCTCCCTCTCTCTCTCTCTCTCTCTCTCTCAGGTTGAAATAGAGGAGTATCAGAACTATGAGAAAGCATTGGCTGCTCTTAATGAAGCACTGCTAGTGCTAGAGAAATCAAAAGGAAAGCATGTCACTTCCATCGAAGAAAAGAAAACCTTTCTAAAGAGAAGATTGGAACTCATCACTAAATTCATTGATATTAGAAGGTACAGTAAATGCATTGTGTGTGTGTGTTGTGTTTCCTGTTTACTCTAGTCTCTGTATTTCTTGAATTCTTTACTAATAAAGTGGCGCTGTTATTTTTATGCTTCATTAATAGGGGACTATTTTTTAAAATTTTCTACATATACATGTGCGTACTGTAATGGGTACGATGTTCTTATGCTACATGTATGTAAAAGTTTGAGCTGATTCCAACTTTAACTTTTTGAGTTATGAGCCATCTTTAAAAACAGCAAATTTTTTTGAAAAAAGCAAAGGCTATAGCCCATGTTTTTTTCTGAAAATTGACTCCAAAATTACCCCAAATTTTTATTACATTTTAAAATACATATTGATGTCCTTATGCTATGTAGAAAGTTTAAACTGATTCCGACTTAAATTTTTCAAGTTACAGCTATTTTAAAAAATGGACCAATTTCTGAAAAAAAGCAAAGGCTATAGCCCATGGTTTTTTCTGAAAATTGACTCCAAAATCACCCCAAATTTTTATTACATTTTTCAATACATATTGATGTCCTTATGCTACATAGAAAGTTTGAGCTGATTCCGACTTAAACTTTTTGAGTTATGAGCGCTTGACAAAACTATAATAATACATGTGTGTTAATCAATTTATATGCGTGTGGTTGGAATCTCATCATATTCTACACATTATTGTCCTTGTTTGTATTGTTGTTAGGTGTGTTGGATTATCATCATACCTTATGTAATTGGCAATTATATTGCATGTCAATCTACATTGTACTTCTCCCCTCCCTCCCTTTAGCTCATATCCTGATAGCCCTGATCAAAGCATAGACCAGTGCCTCCTCTTATTGAATGATCCTCATATTGATACTGCTCTGAGGACCGGGGATCTATATGCTATGATTATCACACACTATGCCTATCAAGGCGACCATCAACAAGTATGAATGATACATAATGCATGTACACGTGCATGTACATGTACATGTACATGTACATTTAAGTGTACATGTTCTCTCTCATCTCTCTCTTTCTTCTCTTTGTCTCCTCTTGTTTGCTTGACATTAATTTGTCACTTGCCAAATGATGTTAGTAGCTGTTGTCAATCATTCTTCTATGATCTTATATCTTTGGTGTTTCAACTTTCAATTAATCAAAATAGCTGATAACACCTGTCACTGCATACATGTAGTGATTTTGCATTTCTTAATCTTATAGTAATAGTAAAAATTATTATTATTATTATTATTATTATTATTATTATTATTATGATAATAATAATATGCATGTAAATTTAACTAAAAGTATTTAATCGACCTCTGAAACACACTGCTTTCATATCTTCATTGCTTATTCTTTACTCTGTGTGTTTACTGTTTTTAGTCATTTATCTAACCTTTCCCTAATTGCTGTTTTTAGTAATTTATCTAACCTTCCTCTAATTGCATGTACAGTACATGTACATGTACACATACAGATACATTAAAGGGGGTGGAATTAGAGAAGGAACATTGACCTGACCTTGTAAAGTTTGTTTATACTCTATTCCAGGAGCTATTATAGTTCTCATTGTCTTACTCATTCAGCTAATGCATGGGTGTACTTGTGTTTCACGATGCTTGTCATTCCTTTCATTTGTAATGAAGTAGTTTCTAATAGTTTGAAAGTCACGTCACTAGCAGCTTTTATGTTGTTTGGGCTGATTGAAAGCTACTGTACACTACAGGGCAAGCATGCACTTATCCTTAATTTATATAATGTGCTATGTCTGTAGATGTGTAGAGGTATTTAAGATATTTACTAATTGATAGAATAAAGGGTAGTTGAGAGAGAGGGGGGGAGAGAAAGGGGGAGAGAGTAAAGAGAGAGGGAGAAAGAGAGAGGGTGACATGGGAAAAGAGAGAGAGGATGAGAGGAGAAAGAGAGAGGAGGGGGGAAGAGAGAGGGAGAGAGAGTAAAGAGAGAGAGAGAGAGAGAGTGACGAGAGAGAGAGAGAGAGGGTGACACAGAAAAAGAGAGAGTACGGTTAAGGGATGAGTGGGAGAGAAGGATTAGAAGGTCAAAGTACTAATGTTACTAGGTACTGAAAGTTGCCGTGTGTCCGTGTTTGGCCTACTTACGTCTCTCCTAACACAATTATCAATACTTCGTTACAACATTATTATGTCTGCTATTGATGTACACAGTCAGATATTTGTGACTATTATGTCAGATACACATAGACCTGATGGCTACTCTCTTATCCAGGAAAGGCCCTCATTGCTTGTCCGTAGTCAATTAGTGAAAGAACAAAGCATTCTATCTAATAATCAGACATACCAGTACTCTACTCTAGCTCTCTGTCACTCCAATAATGCCATAGCTAACACTTACACTAAATCATGATCATCATACCAGTAGTACAGCATCTTGCCATAGCAATGTTCACCATGGAGATAGCATATTATAATATTGAAGTGGTTATGAGTGTCTTCTGTATTCATATTGTGAGCATTAGCATGGGCTTATAGGGTAACTGATACAGCTGCATCACTTTATGCTAATGCTCTGTGGTTTGCTTTGTATGAAAATATTAATAAGAAGTGCATGAGGTAATACTGCTGAGGTCAACTTTACAAGATCTCATTATGTATGGTTTTGAAGATATGCATGTAATATTATATTTTATGGTCAAAAATGTCAGCTACTTGTAGCAAGAGTACATAATAGGGCACTCTTGGCTTGTAGTGAAGACATGTTGCTGACATGTACTTTGTATGATGAGTAAAATGTTAGCATTCATGAATTAAAATCATTATTATTTGTAGGCTTATAAATATATAAATGAGTTGAGGAAGAGACAGCCAGGGGTTAATCTGACGTTTTATATAAAGCAGCAGACGCTTGACTCCATTAACAAAGCACTGGGGACTACACTAGGCGGAGAGAGTGAGGAAAAGGAGGAGGAGGAGGAGAAAGGAGGCGATGAAGGTAGCGATGACAGCATTGAAGAAGTTGTAGACTAGAACATACATAATAATATACTTATACGCACATAATATCACTTTACGTAGATGTACATCAATTAATCATATTTGTGCCATGGTGGACACAAGAAAAACTTTATTTTATTTTGGCACAATTTTATCCGTAAGAATTATGATGATGATATAATCCATTGTTTTTTCGTCCAATCTATCACTAACACTATTATTATTATTATTATTATTATTATTATTATTATTATTATTATTATTATTATTATTATTCTACTAACATCATTTATTGTTGCAGTTGGCTAACACCTCTTCAGCTATTTACTACAATTGACGCATAGTCAGTCTAATGTGTTGTCTTTTTTTCATGTGACGCTATTGGCTACTTGGCACTTTCCAAGAATATAATCACACATTCTCACACTGTACATGTACCGGTATGTATATACAAGCCACATGCTCTGTGTGTCTGTCTGAGACTGCTATTGTGTCTGTTGTCTCGACTTCATTGGGTCTTGTAGACTTCCACTATAGGCGGATGAATATCGAAGAGCAGACTGTATTGTATTTCAACATATTATTATAGCTTTATTATTATTGTTACTATTATTACTATTACTATTATTATTATTATCATTATTCCCAGAAGTGAGAGGAGCAAACAAACAATAGAAAATTCAAAATAGGAATGAGTAGTAATGACTAAGAGAGAGAGAGAGAGATAAAGGAAGAAAGCAGGAGAATGCATGAGAGAGAGAGAGAAACTATGTATAGACTCATACCATTCCAATGTCTTTAATAGGATCACTATGTATGTGTACATTATGTCGTCAATCGTTTACATCATCATGTTAATAATTAACACCTGGTTGCTATGGCATCCTACACATGTCCAATGGAATTTTATTTATAATAATTAATTTGGCTTCGGTAAGCTTGTACTGGAGCAATACGTAAGGTGGTGTTTTGTCTATCATTATGATTATTAATGTATGTTATAGTTCCAATAGGTTTGCATATGTAATACTATTCGTGGGGATAAGCAATTATAGAAAGAGTTTCTAAGTTTCTAAATGGTCTTGTAACAAATTATTACAAGTTGTTACATACCTTAAAATCTAGCTTGTAAAAACATCAATGGATTCATTATCTTCAGCTTTGAATGTTCAAAATTATAATCAACACGAATTAACACTTGCAGATATACATGCACATATAACAATTAAAAACTAACTGAGTGTAGCAAGGCTTAAAGTAAAAAACAAGTCAGGAGTTTTCTAGCAGCAACATAAGGTTGAGATTCTGCTTTTTTCCAGCTAATAATCTATGAGGCTGAGCCCTTGAATGTTTTACATTGTTTCTAGTTCAATATCTGTTAGTGCATGCTCTATGCTTTGAGTGTGGGCCTAAGTATGTGTGTGTGTGTGTGTGTGTGTGTGTGTGTGTGTGTGTGTGTGTGGGTATATCAATTGGTTGGTTGTGTGTGTGTGTGTGTGTGCATATACATGAACATGATGTTTTGATGTGTGAAGACTGTTATTATTACATATACCAGAAAAGGTGCTAAGGAGAGGAGGCAGGACACCGTGTAGGAGAGAGTGTGCCATTATATTTATAACATTCTACACAAACTATCCCATAAGTATTGAGCCATGACTTATTATACATTACTATATGCCCCATGTACATGTATGTACGTACGTGTTGTGTGTGTGTTCAAGCAATGGATGAGTGTGTGTGCTTAATGAGGTATTCTTGTGGTTATTCGTTAGACTTTGTTCCATGATACGGTATATTGAGTCGTGTTATGCTCCTTTGTGCTGTTTCTGCCACTTCAAAAGATACTCCCAAATAGTCTCATTATAAAATATCATCATGATACACCCAATAAATAATCATAATTAATTTTCTAGTATTATACGTGTATACTCCCATTGCATAGCAGGATCTGCTTCAATAATTGCAATTATTACGTTATTATAATTTTTGTGTTTCAATCATGGTTATTTAATTGGTACATGTATACGTATGTATGAATTATTAGAGAGAGAGAGAGAGTGCATTCATTCATTGTTATTGCTTGGTTATCTCTAGTAATCGTATTGAGTGTTTTGTTACAGTTGTCTCTATATCAAGATAGTCTGGGGCTGGGCCTACTATCTCTATCCCATAGGACCAGTCCTCTTCTATTGGTATCACTTTACACTGGAGCCCCCACCTCTCTAGCAATGGAAATAAAGTCCTATTGGAGCTATACAGAGATGGAGAGAAGGAGGGAGAGAGTGAGAGTGAGAGAGATCTAGAAGACACATGATACAAAAGTGACAAACAAGAGGTATATAGATGGAGAGAGAGGAGGAGTGTCAGTGACATCTGCTGTTATTTAGCATATCAAGTTTGAATAAAAAAAGAATAAATGGTTTAAAGTGACATATTAAATTATTAGATACCCTTGCTCAATGATATTATTTTAACTCACACTCTCTTTTTATAAGTATTACATAAACCACTTCAGGCAATAACACTTTGTAATTATCATGATTAAAGTTGCTTTAGCTCTAATTCTCTCTCTCCTCTCCCCCCTCTACTCTCTCTCTCTCTCTCTCTCTGTTCCTTTCCTTCTCCCCCTCTCTCTGCAGCTAGCTCTATCCCATATTGTGTACATACTGTACACCAATTGTTATGATACTCTCATAACTACATGTCTCTCCCCATAGAATAACATTGTATTAGCATTATGTACACACACATCATTAATGCACATGTACAATATGCAACCCAGCATTACTAATTTACTATGTCTTGTGTACATAGTAACTGTGTATAATATGTAGACACATACCTTCTTTCCTGGTAAGTAGTCCAAAAGACACAACCACTTCTCTTCTCCAAAACATAATCAACTGTTGCCATAACATCTTCAAAATCTAAACGCATGCAACAACATCAAAACAACTAAAGCATAACATATCTGAAATTGAAATGGGTATAGGACATAAACATATTGTTCTCCCCCCCTCTCTCTCTCTTTCTCTTTCTCTCTCTCTCTCATACACAAGTCAAAGCAAAGAAAATACTTGCTTCAAATGCTTAATACAATGCTTCAAAAATCAGCTCCAACTTAACACATACTTGCTATGTGCAATAAAAATTGAGAATTCATTCATTAATTGCCACAAGGACTTTGACCCAATTTTTGAGTAATTTTAAAAATTTATAAAAAATCCAATTTTGGTTGGAACCAACTCAAGCTTCCTACACAACGTCAGTACATCAGAAAACATTACAAAAATTCTCTCCTAGCCATTTTTGTCAAAATATCCTGTACCATAGTACACTCAAGGTATTTATAATTCATGGCATAACTATGATAGTTAGAAAACTTGTGATTAGAACTAACTCAGACTATACATAGCAAAAGACATGCATCGTGTGTATATCTGTCCGCCATATGTCAGCTCATTTGTTCATTAATGGTTTACTAATTACAATACACTTGTTATTGGACCATATATACATCGTACATGTATGCCCATACCATAATAGTATCTATTATGTCCTGTGTGTTATTACGTGCACAAGATTATTACACGTAATGCGCTATATATGTACATGTACATAGATCCACATGTTATACTTGTAGGTACACCTTATTAGCCAGATCTTGTATCATATTTTAAACTGACAAACAGCTGCTCTAGATATTATATGCTACATGAACACATCGCACACACACATATCATGAAAGAACAAAGAACGGAGAGGAAAGAGGAAAGCAAGCACAAAGAGAAAGAGAGAGAAGAAGGTGAGAAGAAGACCCATACCTTTGCTATCATAAAAGCAGTCCGATGCTAGCACGTAATCGCATTTACTTAAATTTATTAAATCAGGTGAGATTAGACCCCAAGTGAGCCCCATAATCTTTATTTCCCTCAGTCCATTCAGTTCACATGTCTCCCTCAGGTAGTCCAAAAGACGTGGGTTGTCCTCTCTGTCTGATAGAGTCACAGAGCCTCCGCATTTGGCGGCAATTAACCCGGGAATGGCTGTGCCTGAGCCTAGCTAACAAGAAATATATCGATAACAATACAATGATATAATAGCAGATGTAATAGAGTGTTTAAGAGAATTGTTATGCTTAGCAGTGCCAACGCTATACAGTTAGTTTACATAGAGTGAGTTGTGATTATGTTCCAAGTGTGCCCATGCAATGCCCAGTATTGTGGGACACTTCATCATTCATGATGTTATCTATACATGGAAATTACGTCTAATTCAATTGTAACCAATGTACTTAATTTAATCTTGACTCTTAATTGCCAGTTTATACAAGAGGCATGGATGAGGCTGTATAGTAGATGGATGTGTATTAATTGTCAATGGATTGTGTGTGTGTGTGTGTGTCACTTGCCAAGATGTCTAGCATCACAAGTTATGACTATCATTATTCAGTATATCAATAACTGTAGTACATACATACTAGAGGGGAGTCTACTCACTCGTTTAATTACTAGCTTGTTTAGTCAGTAGTTTCATTATATTATAGAAGAGACAATGAGTCAGACTGGAGTGTAGTGTATAGCTGGGTATCATGTTGCAGACTTGTTGAGCAAGTAAATAGCCTTTGATATTAATAGCTGCCATGATGTCTGAGCATACATGTCATTGTATTAATTAATTTATTTATATTACAAGGATTGGAATTGAGTAGTGGCAAAAGCTTAGTGTAAAGGTAACCATATAGATCTACACTTACTTCTAGTATGTTTTTATTGATAATTTTGTGTCTTTGATTATAGATATAATAGCCTAATATTGGAGAGCAGGGCCACGTGTAAAGAGCATAGTCATCTGATAATCTCTAATAATAATAATAATAATAATAATAATAATAATAATAATAAGACTAATTATAATAAATAATACTAATAGTAATTAATATATAATTTATAGTATAATAATAATAATAACGTTACACCCACATATCTATCAGTGTTGGTTATTGTAAATGGTAGGGCGTGGTACAAATGTTATCGGTAAAAGAATAATCACTATAATATTAAATTTTAAAGGGAGTATATACTATTATCATTATAATTCTATAGTAGCCACCGCACATTAATTCATCATTATTAATTACTACTGTGAGAATAATCGTAAATTGTTTATCATATATCTCAAGTCTCCAAGTGAGATTGTTTGTATTATGCAGCGAACGCATGGGCCGGTAAATAAACAAAGATCGATAATGAGCCAGCTTGTTTATAACACTAACATTAACATTAGACTACATTAACATATACTAAATAAGTCCCTTATCAGTATGATGCAGGAATAATTGCATTCCTTACATTCTTAGGATTCCAAAGTACACCCTCACCTCTAGTGTTTTTATTCTCAATGGGCTCAACTCCATATTGTTTGCTCCAGCATGATACACATGTATCATGTGTCAGCCAGGCCCACTGGTTATGAATATAGTTTACATAATTGGATTAGCATCCAGAGCCAGTTTGCTCTGCATTCAATTATTTTACTAATTGATACTGCCTCTAAGAGCAACAAATAACAGATATACTTTGCATAACCTCCGGTCATAATTTTCACTAGAAATCTCTCCTCCACAACTTCGCCTTCTTCTATTTACTCATTATCTCATGGACAATTTTCTTACGCTCAAGTTGTGCTTATCTTTCAATTGTTAAATTTGCTTTTTTAACATTTTTTGCCTGTTGTGACATCCTGTTGAACCTTGTCATCTTGTTCAACACATAATTTATTGTTTACATTAATGATTATTATGGATGCATGCCTGATGGATAAAAAAAAATCCTTGTTTGACCTTGTCATCCTGCTCCAACAATATAAATTTATAATAAGTAATTTTACAATTTTTATTATTAATGATTATATCATCTGTGCGTGAGCTTAATGTTATGCTTTTAGAAAATAAACAAACACAATAAAGAATGTAAGTATTTCCTCTCTCTCTCTCCCTCCCCCTTTACCCTCCCCCCCTCTCTCTCTCCTTTTTTAGTAACTGATATACATTTGATACTCCTTTATCAGTCTATCCTTTTCATGCCCTCTTGCCTGCTATTGCCATGACAACTTAGAGCAACTCCACCCCGAGATAATCCAATGAGTGTTATGATCCCTTTGAAGCTCTGTAAACAACATAATGATATTAGCGATATTATTGACATATCTTTTACCCACTTATTTATGTTGCACAACCAATAGCTATTGCATGTACCTTTAACAATGAGTTATAGCACTTTGGACCGTAGCTCCTCGCTTTGTGTAGTTCAAACTATATTGCATTACGTGTATCATATGCCGTGTCACCTACTCAATTCAGTTGAAGGAGAGGGAGGGAGGGGGAGGAGAAAAGAGAGCTTCATGAGCAGTGACGTATGTTGTATTGATTTCTTGTGATTTGGTTTTGATATCAGATTAAGCTGTCAATATAATAATAGTACTTTGATATGCCTATTGCCATTGATAACAAATAATTATTAGAGATACCCCCTCCCATCGAGAGTGTGCGTTTGTGTATCACTGTTACACAAGCACATGCAACCAGTACAGAGAAACAGCTAGCATTTGGTGACTGATAATGACAGATGGTGATATATGGTCACGCTAACAGATGTGAATGTCTATCGGCATAAATGTGCTTCAAGCAGTGTACCCTTTGCTTCATTATGGACTCATTAATAACCACTTTATCCTCAGAGCCACAATAAATACTACAATGATGTATTGTAGTGGTATGAGAATCCTTTATGAGTCCAGTAGTGCAGCTCTAAAAGTACCAAGCCTTAATCAATGCAAGCCACATTAAACTATATATGTACTTTGAAGCCTTCCTGCGCTTTAACCAATTACTCTCTACACAAACCACATGCAGTGTAAGCACATTATGATTTCAATGATTTAAAATGGAATTATCAAGCAACACCTACACACATACGCACTAGAAAAAACTTTAGAGTGTTACTATGAAGATCGAGCTAGCACTAGCACATGATTAATACACATCACACACACACACACACAGCTATTATAGAATATACTAGAGTATTAGAGCAGTCAAATAGTTGAGGCAGAGAGGAGTGTGGTGTGTGTGGGGGTAGTATTTACACTTGTATCTTATGTAGTGTGTTATTATGGTAGGTAGGGGGGGAGACTATATAGTACAAGCGGTGAATATAATTGTATCCAATCATTGATTGTTTTGTTTTGGTTTTGGTTGCGATGATCAGTCATTTCCAACGTCTCTCTGTCTCGGCTTTTTTGTGTCCCGTCCAACCGTGAAATTAACATCTAATTGTGTGTGGGGGGATACCCAAGTGAATGAATGAGTGTATGTATACTTGCATGTACATGTACATTGTATCACCATAAACACACTTTCTATGTACATGTACTGATACACAGAACAGGCCTCGTGTTACATACCAGCTTACATTACAAATACATGCACGCATGCATATTAACTAAAAAGATAAAAACAACGTGCACTTACTGTACATAGTTACATACTTACCATAAAGTAATGCTTATAATATTACCGATCTATGGCTGTCAGCTTTATTAGTTCCTCTTATTACAACACACACACACACACATAATATCTATAGGCATACATTACTCTCCCCACCCACACACACACACTTGTGGCAACAAACCATAATGATCTACATTACTAACAATGTACTATAGTGCTGGCTCTTCCTGACCCATTACCACAAATTAGTTACTTCACTATGTTTACTGTACTTTTATTATCTGTAATATAAGTGGATCCTTTTCCCCCCTCTCTCTTATTTAATGTTTATATGCTACTCTAGCTGTGAGAGGAAGACGGATATCTCCCTCTTTTTGTTGCTATTTAATAAAATAATGTTTACATCTACTCCCATAACTGTGAAAGAGGAAGGCCCCATAGCGTAACTAGGTGGAAGCTAAGTCGAGAAAGAAGGGGTTAGACCATCACGTAGATTGTTTGATAAAATGCTGCCAAAGTGACACATTTTTTTCAAAACAACCAATTTGATTGATTAGGAACAGGGGAAAATAAGAAAAAAATAATAAAAGAGATATCGTAATTGGTATACATATAAACATGGGCTCACCATGGTCATACATGCGTGCTATAAACGCCCACGTTGCACAGATAGCGCTCACACACCAAAGAGATTGTTTCTATAAATTGAAGCTATACATATTCACACATTCAGTCCGTGTAGTATGTATGGGGAGTATGTATCATGTTCTAGCCATTTGTGCAATAGGTAGATTGATTATGATAATGATGGTAAACTTCCATACTAGATCAGTCAATACATGATGTGCATGGATAGATATGAAGAAATTTGGGAACATGCAGTCAAACTTTCTACAGAGCATTAGGGCATCAAAATTCAATTTCTTTCTTAGCCAGTTCCGATGGCAAATGAGCAGTGGTTTTTTGCCAAAATTTTGGTGTTTCTAAATGAACGTATTTATTGTTTATTAGCAATAGGCCAGGAAATAGGAAGGAAAAGGAAAAAAAGTGTTGTCATATTAGGAATTACAGTCAACAAGAATGTCTTTCAATAAAACAGAATTTGAATAAAAGAGAATAGCATGAGCCATTATTATTAAAGCAACAGACAAGCATGTGACATCCGGACATGCTGATAGTCTATTTTTAGCTACTTGTAGTGATACAGACACACAAAACTTGATTATAACTATTAAAGGAATGCTACACACATTGTTGTACACTGTACATGATTGGAAGCAAGTCAATTCAGTACACATAATAGACAACATCCTTTTCTTTATGCCATCCCTTGTATAGAACAAACAGGAACCAGCTATCAATAGGAGCAACATGTTGCTCTATATGTTAACCAGTCACTGAACACGGGCACTCGATAGTTTATTTTTTAATTTTGGACTACATTTTATTTGCTTCTTTTTCCTTCTTCATATACTCAATCAGATAACAATTATCTATAGCAAATAGGGAGAAATTTGTGTATAGTAGAGCGTAACCACAAAGAGAGGGATTTTATTGTTTTTCCGGTTATACAATAGGCTACAAAACAAACCCCATTATATATTAAAACTGCTAATAAACACACAAATTCCAACTGCAAAATGCACGTTTCTCTCCGCTTTATTGCCCATATTTGGCAACTGCTGATATTATACATGAACTTAATGATACACTACTTTCTGCAAATAAACACACACATACCCCTAATGGGCTAATTTTTGTATTCCCTGGTAAAATGACATTGCTATATCTTTCATTTACTTTAGTCACAATCAATAAAAGAAAATTACCTAAGAAATCCGTACACAAATGCATTGTTTTCGATAAGACAATAAAAATTTAGCATATGCTTTTACTGATTCCTAGAAATGTTATCACTGCCGGTGCACATGGACATTAACTGTTATCATTGCCAACGCTCATGCACATATGCTTCACTGCCGGCATTGTTTTATTTTTATGTATATATAGATATGCATGCGATGTGCATGCATGCATATCTCAAATGGTATACAAACGGATCTATCAAAACAGAGCAGTTTCGATTCAGCACTAATAGTAACGCTCAAAGTGCATGCATTAATATAATGATTACATATTTCTTGGCTACTTAAACTTCACTGTTTATAGAAATATTTGGCCATACTAATAGTAACTAGCTCAATCTTCCTTATACATGCGAATGATATGGCAATGACGCTTACATTTTATGTCATTTCTGGTGTACTCATTCACTTGCTGGCATCCTTTCCGCTTGTACTTCTGCCACTAGTTCTGATCTTGAATTCTTCACTGCCAATGTGAGGATGAAAGGTTACCTATTAATGGTAATAAATCAGTTGCATCATTAACTGATAATGATGTAAATATATACATAGCCCACTTCTTGGCATTACAATTACATAGTGTGATTCTTATGATGGTCATTATAATGATAACTGCTATCATGCTTTATAGTACAGATAATATCCTATTGTCATTTATTACTGTTATAATCACTATAATGGCAGAGAGGCTAATAGTCTAGGTACTATAATAATAATAATAATAGTAGTAGTAGCAGTAGTAGCAGAGTCAGGAGATGAATGAAACTGATATCCTTGCTGCTCTATGGTACAGTATAAATACATGTACTATACAGGTATGTATATACTTCACCATAAATTCCCTATGCATTATGTCTTGTGCTGCGTAGCTGATTTTGATCAAAATTGTACTTTTTACAAAATTTTTTAATTCTGTCCAAAAATCCTGTGTACAAGGTCTTTGCAGTCAAAAGCATGCTTTGTGGGAACCCTGGATGCATCTCTTCATGCCACGTAGAATATCTGAAACAAATAAGAATTTTAAAGTTACGGGAAATTTTGGCTAAAGACCATGAACTATAGCCCAACAAAATGGCAAAGCCCAAGCACAACAATAGCTACGACTTGCTTTGTTGTCTTCTTCTATTATTGGAGTGGCACTCAATGGCTGCTTAGTACTAATTGAAATACGAGACAGTACACATCATTTTAATTGATGACTATTTTGTCTTTACTTTAAAACGAATCTTGTTCCATCTATCAGCTTTCATTACAGATTATACAGTTCACTAATGAGGCATAGTGTGCATGGTATATGTAGAAAATGCCTACTAATAGGACACTACTTTAGTATAAACAAGTGATAATGAACTAAAATTATTTTAGCATTAATTAAGAATCCACAACCATGCAAGGCGCAAACAGATATAAAATTTAAAATGTATTTATTATCGAATTGAAATAAACATATAATTATTAATAATTAATGCATAGCGGACATTTTACCAAAAATAAGCAAAGGCAAGTGATGTGTGTATGCCTCTACTGCTCTGATTGCATTCCAAGCAAACTTGAGGTGAGACGCATTATAAATGATTTATTGTGATAACTAGCAGCAATACGTATACACATACACTCTGTGTGTGTGTGTGTGTGTTTGTGTGTGAATTCCTGAATAAGTGGTCTCTTTGCCAATGTTTAAATAACAATCACCACTTGATACTCCCTAATCCCTTTAGAGTCTAACAAATAAAAGTGTAGGTTAGTTCATGGTCCAGCGTAGAAGTTCAGGGAGGTCGGGGAGACGAAGAGACAGAGATACGAGACTGGAATGTGGGATTATTTGTACGTGATATTAATAAGCGGCTTTGTAGCCGGATAGTTTTGTGTTGGCATGTGCGTGTGTGGGAAATCTCTGGTATTCTCATTATTATCATTGCAATTATTATAAAATTAAATAAAAACACAATTACAGTTTTCGCTACTTCTCCATCAATCAAGAGCCACGTGTGTGAAATAAAGTACATGTTCTTCACGTTAAGGAAGACAGCATGTGCTTTGCATGTAATGAACATGCACATTAACAACCCACGCGCCCAATTTGGTAATACAAAGGCCAAAAGCATGACTTAAGGCCAGGCCATGTTGGCTAGCGTATGATATTTATACAAGCAGAGTCAGCCACTTGAAGTATTCTATTGATCACACACTAACAACTTCCTGGCACCCAATCTCTATCTCTACATGTGTGTATGTACTGATCATATGTTATAGTATGACATGATGTGTAGCAGAGTTCACTATAACGATATTCATATCAGTGATCAAAGTTGAACCCTAGAGACACTAGTACAAGTCTGCCTTCTGTGTAGTTTGTGTAGGTAGAGATATTAGCCTCCAGTAGGGGCCTCTATGAGTCGGCAGATCATCGTTTGTAGTAAATAAAAAAGAATAGTTTTACGAATTATGGCAACCCCATCAGCAAACCCGCAGGCAATAAAGCACTAATGGCTGCCGGCAAAATGAAAAAAGTAGTCAATTTTCACATCTTGTATTGCATTTGGTATAGTTACAAAATTATGATGGGCAAGTAATCAAAATTCTACCACAGACAGTTAGTACGGATGCAACGATAGAGGCAGTTGCCTTATTCTGCAGGTGATAATAGTTAGCAGTCACATTAGTGGATGGTTTGTTAGTTTTTGTGATGCAGCTATGGGTTGAGTTGCTGGATAAAAACAATTGTCAACTATTGGCCTAAATGACTTATCTCTTTGTGAGAACTGATTGCTAACAAAAGGCGTGCATGCAATGATAGAGTGTGAACATTGTCTGACGGACCAGATATGGCAAACCAGCACAAGATAATTGCACTCTCTTAGAAAAGTTCATAGGGAACAAATGCAATGAATACACACAACCCAATTACAATGTATTCCAACATACACTAGAAACAACTGCTATTGTCTACACTAGAAGCAGAAATGTCTGCCAGCATTAATTATTCTTAGTAATTATTGAGTAGGCGGGCACTGCATTCCTAGGCCGTTGTCGTGGTGATCATGTGGTGCTGGAGGATATAAAAGGGCATCTCTTTCCCTCACCAGTCATCATAGCTCTTCGCAATCCAAATTACCTAAGAAGCAACAAACTACTAGCTAGCTAACTACAGAGAAATGGCAGTAGATGCAACCAGCAATGTCTATCAGACAAGCCTAGATGAGAGATTCACTTTCATCCGTCAAGCCGGCAAAGGCACTTACGGTACAACATGGATCGCTTTGGACAAGGAGACAAACTCCAAGGTAGCCATCAAGGCTATCAACAAGACCACCACCAACAGGACCTCCTTCAAGAAAGAGCTCAAATACAGCAAACACCTGAGCAAGCACCCTCACATCATCAAGACTCACGACACAGCCTTCGAGACAAAGACTTGCTACGTTATGGTCCAAGACTATGCCACTGGTGGTGATCTCTTTGACGCCATCGAGCCAGAAGTTGGACTAGATGCCTCAAAGGCCCGTGTCTACTTTGGACAGATAGCCGATGCACTGGAGTTCATGCACAGCAAGAAGCTAGTCCACCGTGACTTGAAACCAGAGAATGTTGTCCTCGGAGACAGTGAAGGTAGCTACATCAAACTGATCGACTTTGGCATGACTCTAAGGACAGGGACTCATGTCTCTCGTGTTTGCGGCTCCATCCCTTACACTCCACCAGAGATATGTAACGCCAAGGACGAGGTTGGTTTCTTTGTCGAGCCATCCTGCGATGTCTGGTCAGCCGGAGTGCTCCTCTTCTGTATGCTCACTGGGAGCTTCCCCTGGGAACAAGCAACACTCTCTGATCCAAACTTCGCCGATTTCGTCCAATGGCAGACTGGGAAGGGACGAGTCCCTCACATGTGGAGGAGTTTCTCCCCTCAGCTCCTAGAGCTCTTCAGCAAGCTCCTCGCCCTCGACCCCAAGGACAGATGCAAGATAAACGCAGTCCACAAATACCTCAGTGAGCCATGGTACAACACCGAGCTCTATCCTTCAAACACTCACTACAGCCAGACTTGTTACGAAGTCGACCAGTTCATGGATTCGTACAAAGCCTCTCCATCACAATGCGGTCTTAGCTTACTACCACAATTCGGAGGTAGTCACTTCCAATCAGCTGCTGTAGCCTGCTCGTAATCGCCTCTCACTATTGCATATAATCGACACTGTAATATCATTTCATATTTTCACTTCTTAAACGAGAATGGATAACAGATCCGAAATGACTGGCTGGTCCAGAAAACAAACTCGAGGCAAGAAATCGGCAGCAGGCGAAGATTTCCCTCCAAAAACTATAACAACAACAACAACATGCTCTCCCCCTCCTCAAAATAAACAATCTAATGTAGCTAAATGTAAATCATAATAATAATTATTATTATTACTTTATATTATCATGTACAGGTAGTTTTTAACTTATCACTTAGCTGGTCTTTGTGACACTTTAATTATTTTAAAGCTTAATCTTAACAATATTTATACTTATTACTTGTAATTTATCATTATTTGTAATTTTCTCAATGTACTTGTATCAAATTGTAATCATTATCTCAAAAGAATCAATATTTCAGTTAACAAAAAAACTTTGAAAATCGAAATTCAGTCAATATGCTAAGCCTTAGCAGCAGCAACAGATCCTACTACAACAATTGATCACAGCGCACTATACCATGCCATCTGTATATGACACACATAGACATAATAAGAGTACAGTTCACAATAATAACTGATGATCTATATCTTGTGAAGATACTAGCAGTCCTACAGGCGCAGGCAGATGTTCCTTACATGGCAACTGGTGATACAAATGATGACAAATATCTAGTAGGAGTGACTAATAATAGTAGCTGAGTAAATACGATTATTATCATTGGAACACACACACACACACATACACACACTCACACACACCAACTTTGCAATAAACAACATGAGAGAAAAGAAACAGAGAAAGAAGAAAAGACATCAAGATCAAGGGAGAGAGAGAGAGATAAAGAGAGAGAGATCAATGGATATATAGCTTAGATCATTCATGTAAATGTGTACGTGCCTGTTGTGACATATTAATATTCAATGGACCAGCTAATGATTGAAATATAGACAATGACAGAAAACATAATTTTAGACTATTTCCATTTATGCACTCAATTACATCATCACTCTATAGATCTTCTCTCTATAATAATAATCCAGTCAAGGTGTGATGTAACTGGCCATCTTTTACAACCAATATGGCCATCCTTGCATTCTTATATACTTAATGGAGAACATGATGGAAACATCAACACAAATATAGATACAAGCGTGACCTGGCTACAATGCCCATTAAAACACACATTAATCACATTAATCGTATTATTGTCATATTGGCCAGTCATATTGCCTATACATGTAGCTGATTGCACAAAATTAAACAATAAGACAGAGTTCTAGCTACCATATGTGTATTATCCAACATAGTGTCATGATCATGCCTCAAAGTTCACAGTATGTATGCTCCTTACCTTCCATTGTCTGCTAATAATAACTGTTGCTATCATTATAATATGCTGAGAGGAAGTGAGATACCCCCTAATAGTAGTAAGAGTCCACCAGATGATAGGATTAGGTCAGTGTTACCCTGACAACAGGTCATTCCACAAAGGGTTAGATCAATCCTAGTACTATCAGGACTCCTCCTACACCAAAAGATCAAAAAACATTTATAAAAAGGATTACTTTAATCTAGAGATTACACATTATGAAACAAAAAATCAGAGTATTTTGCTTAGAAAGGCTGGGATTGTTGGATGCATTGAGAAAAGCAAAGATCACATAAACAATATAACAATTGACATATTGTACATGTACATGTATTATCTATCGCTTTATATCAACAACAATCTGCTGCGTCAAATAATAAACATTATTTCTTTGCAAATAAAACATCAATCGAATCCATCTAGCCCACAAGACACTTGAGAAAAGAGAGTTTACCATTTATCAATCCGACCCACCATTAAAACACTAGAGCCCGTAGTAAACACGCCACGTACACAGACAACAGGATGGGAGGGAAGGGAGGGAGAGAGACAAAAAGACAGTAACTATTGGGTACGCCATATAATATATAATTCTATATCATTTTTGCTTCAATTTCAAGGGACATTAATCAGCATATGCATTTTACACTTACCATTCTCACGATGCATGTACATGTGCATACATTTTGTACATGTACATATACATCTGTGTACATGTACATGCATACATACATGTAGATGCTATTTGCTTCATTGTGTAATGGGCACTCCAACACAAATGCCCATCATAAAACAAAACCACAATAAAATAAAACAAATTTGTATGCACCATTTAAAAATACAAGGGCAACGTACATATTATACATTCATAAATAGTAACATCGTTGTACGAGTATAGAGTTGTTTTCAGAGTAGGGTGCTGTCAAGGAGACAGATAAGGAGGGAAGCGCTTAACGGGTTCACATTATGAATGGTAGCCAAGCAACTTGTGCATACACGCTCACTTAGCACCACCATCAATTGGAACAGACAGAAAAAACAATAGTGGGCACAATTAAAATAATAGAATATAATATGCCCACTCTTAGAGTTAGTTGCCTCAAGATATACAATACCTGCCAACGCTAGTTCCAACTTGATAAACTGTACACAAGTTAAGCCTCTAACCCAATGCCTTAGGTGTAGATACACATGTTTATTATATATATAATTGAGTATAGTGTATAAACAATATGTTGCAGAATAAGGTAGTTGAAATTAACCATTGGAGTATTGGGGGAATCTACGGTGAATAATAATAATAATATAAGGATAATAATAGTAAAAGTCCTTATTATTATCATAATTAATAAGGATAAACAATAAAAGTAAGTTTTTCAGTTTAGCCTATATCCTGTACCGGAGGTAAGCTATCAAATCATTCCTGGAATAGGCCGCTTGTTATCGATTACTAGGAACAACGAATGGAAGGTTAGTTTGTTTATGTGTATACACTAACTGCTGCCAGAGATAGGCCAGTATATATATACACACAGTATTAGCATACATACTATTAATAGGAAGCTATCATTTCCATGAAAATCAAAAAAAGCATCAACAGGCAGTTATCTTATACACTTAATTAATATTATGCCAGCGATCGTGTATAATCACATATGATATGATAATAAGCTATGATTATTAGAGGTTAATGAGCTCTGTCAAATTTCACGTGTACAATATGAGAGAGCATGCATGATGTGTCTGCTTGTGTTTAAAGAGTGAGTGTATATACAAATAACAATAATACTGGGCTATATCTCTTTCTTTTTGGGGCTATAAAGAAAAGCATAACTTCACGTGTACAATAATGACCGAACATGCATGACACACGTGTGTTTGTGAATTAAAGATCGAATATTTATACAAATGGCTATTTGTCTTTTTCTTTTTTATCTCACTATATAAAGGCTATATAAAAGGTTTCCAAACATTCATTGGCCACATAAACCACTCCATTGATTTATGCAGATTCAGTCTGTCTATACCTGCATCTGTTTTGTGTAGTGTGGTAAGTAAATGAATTTTGTTCTTGCACATTCTCACAGGGTGAAACCTGTCCTGTTTGGACACCTGGCTATGATACCACATTCAGACATGTAAAAGAGCCCAGCCTCTCTTCCAATAATGTTTTGATAAAATCAAATTAAGTTAAAGTGGAGTCCACCTATAGTTGGGAGCATCAAAGAGACCACTGCCACTACAGGTACCCACCCATGGTGTCATAAATATATTTTTCAAAAGTATATATGGAACACAGCTGGTATATAGGCACACATATAGCAGACATTATAGTCTATAATGATATAGTACATTGAGCAACAGGATAAAGACCAGCCTCCTCTTCCTTACTAGGAGGACCACCATGACATGTTAACATGATCCCATTATCAATTATTAAATCAATACAGACACACAGGCAGACCAATGGAGTATGAGCTAACAGAGAGAAGGGGGACTGGCAGCCTGGCTATAATGATATTCATACCATTAGTCTAGTAACTGGAGGCAGGCAGTCTACAATGATCTAGACCTATCCTCACAGTGATGCAATGTGTTACTGATACTTAAAACAAACAGCTTATAGATACACATGATAGGTGGATGTATAGTGCCCACAGTCCCCTGCACTAACTGTTGGTCCAGTAGCTTGTACTCTTCACTACTCACTCTCTCTCTCTCTCTCTCATTGATACACAGGTTAATATGACAGTGTTTGGTAGTATGACGTGTCAGTGAACTATTATACCCTCCAGCCAACTCCTCCTCATCTCTTGTGTACGATAGACAGGGAGACATAGTGTGAACTCTTGTGTATAGGAAAAAAATGAGTTTATTTATGTACATGTATGTATGTGAATTTGCTATGATAGTAATATTGGTATATATCAAAGAGAGGGGGAGGGAGAGAGAAAGAAAAAGAAGATGAGAGATATAAAGAGGCTTAAAGTGTTAATAATAATGCTACCAACAAAAAGGTAAACTTAAAGGAAAAGGGATGAGTAAACAGGAACAATTCCTATTCCAAAGAAAATCATAAATGCATTGGGCTTCTTCACACAATCACTGATATAAACAAACCGCATGGGATATTATGATACTATACAACATAAATGCACACCTGATGTGTATAAATGGCAGAATGAAGAATTTCCAGTAAATGTATGCTTGTATGTTGACTACTATTTCTTCCTTCCTTCTTTTAACTCTCCCCCTTTTATATGTTACATGCATGCACTGTACATTACATTACATGCACATACGTACAGCTTATACAGTGCAAAGACAGTACATTACATTACATGTACATACATTGTACATGCAGCTTATATAGTACAAAGACAGATGCTGACATGTACTTGTAAGTACAT